AAAAATGAACATAATTTAATAGAAAAATTGAATGAAAAAAATGGGATTGATTAAATCGAAAAAAATTTAAAATTTGAATCCATAAAGAAATAATAGAAATTATTTTGATTGAATAATTCATAATAACTGCTGTTATATTTCTATGAAAAAGTACAATTTGTATTATGATAACATAACATCGCATAAGAAGAATTGCAATCTTGTAAGTACCATTGCAATCTTTTACAAGTACCATTACAATCGCATAAGTACCGTTTTAGTTCTTGCAAGCACCATTGCCATCATATAAATTGAGAAAATAGACAAGCAGGATTTTTTAATTTTAATATTTTCAAAATTATATCACTTGTCAAATGATAGCATATGAGGGAGATTTAGCCAAAGTTTATGGATACATGATAATACAAATTGTACTTTTTCGTAGAAATATAACAGCCAGTTAGTACGAATTATTCAATCAAATTTACGAATGTGAATAACACATTTTTGAAATTAATTAGCCATTAATGCATTAGCTATCAATTATCGTTAATCAGCTTAAATATGAAGTAAATTGATGTTAAATATTTTGATAATTATTGCTATTGCTTGATGCAACATATCGGAGGAGATTATAATCTTATCAAATTTATGATCATATGATAAACAATGATAGATTAGATGTAAAAGAAATTTATTATTTTTCTTTTCACGTCATTTCATTTATCATTAATAGCTGATAACAATCAACGACGTCATGAATTTATTAAAAATTTTGTTTACCTGTTTTGATAAAAATTTAAAAAGCAGTTAAGAAGCAACAGAATTGACAAAACAAGTTAGCAATTTAGAATTTTGCAAAAATAATATAAGCATTGTAAATAATGGAGAAAACCAGTTTATTCGAATGCTATGTTATCCATCCTATATTTTAGCATTGATAATGATCGTATAAAAAGTTTATTCATTTCATTGAAATTAATAACCGTATTACAGTAGCAATTTTTTTTGCTAATTTTGCTAATATTATTTCATTTTAATCTCTTTCTAATTCTTCTTTTTGCATATTTTGTCGATTTTTTTAAATAATATACTTAATTGGAATTTTTTTTCAAAACTGCTCTCATATTCATTCATTGCATGTTTTTTTCTTTTTCATTCTAAATTTATTTGCTTTCAAAATATAATCTCTAATTGAAATCAAACTTCGACAACAAATATTACCTGGTGTTTTAGCAGTTTTACTTTTTTTTGTTGAAAGTGAAACACGTGAGATATTTGATTTAAAAATTGAAAAGTTGAAAAATAAAGAAATGCTTAAGTTAATTCGTAGTACATTTTTTGTGTGTTTTTTTAAAAGAAAAATAATTGAATGAACTATGCTAGAGTTGTGAAGAATTTGAAAAGACAACGAAAGATCTCAAAATGATGTTTAAGGTATTATCACAAGTAAACGGTGATGTACGAAGCCGCAGGCAAGCCGGTTATGATAGCTATTCGAGCATTGAACAAGGACGTGGTAGAGAGGGACGTAGTGGCGCTGGAGTCAGCAGTAGCGTTCTAACAAGTTTTGGTGGAGGGGCACCTTCAGCACCTGGTGGTGGTTGCTGTGGTTGTGGCGTATCACCACCAGGACCACCGGGTGAGCCTGGACCAGATGGAAATGATGGTAGAGACGGTGAACAAGGACCACCGGGTAGAGATGGACAGGATTCCCATCAGGCACCACCTACGATGCCACATATTGTAAGGATTTTTTGCGAAATTTTTTTGCCAAATTAATGCAGTTAGAAACGTGAGAAATCATTAAATAACACAGTACAGGATTGGTGTTTCGACTGTCCGGATGCACCAGCTGGTCCAGCAGGAAATCCAGGACCAAAAGGTCCAAAGGGCGCACCTGGTCCTCCAGGAAAGGATGCAGATGGTGGCAATAGAGGACCACCAGGACCACCAGGTAGTCCGGGACAAAGTGGCGCACCGGGTCAACCAGGTCCAAAAGGACCACCAGGACCGCCTGGGACTGTAGTGGAAACATCCGCACTATCGGGTCCACCAGGTCCACCAGGACCACCTGGTCAGCGTGGATCACAAGGACCACCCGGACAAAGAGGAAATCCTGGACAAGATGGACTACCAGGACCACAGGGAGATGTAGGAAAAGATGGAGCACCTGGTAAACCAGGTATCGATGGAACAACTGGACCGCAAGGTGAACGTGGATCTTCTGGTTCATGTGATCATTGTCCACCCCCGCGAACAGCACCTGGCTATTAAGATACCCATTTGATAATCTTTGCATAAATCTTTACATTTCACGCATTGTTCTTCTGATAAATTTTAAATCTTTTATAAAAATGTATCAATGATCAAAAAAAAGTTTTCAAAAAAAGAAAGTAAAAATAAAAGACGAAAACGAAAACGAAAACAAATCAAAAAAAAAAAAAAAAGAATAGAAGAAAAAAAAAATGAGAAAATTGATACGATATGACTATTGGAACCTTTCTTCTAAACTCCTCTCTTTTCTGTCGATAAATGAAAAGAGATAACCTGTCTCTCGCATTGCTACCTTAACGATTAATTTCATTTTCGCAAAGGAGTTATCGGTGTAATATTTTGATAAATTAATTTTTTCTTCTAAAGCTATAACTACTGAAAAAATCCCATCGAAGCTTCTGCAACATTTCTAACAATAACTGCTATTATAATCTTTTAAATATCCGACATTATAATAAAACAAGAAAAAGAAACCACAAAAAAGAAGAGAAAAAAAAAAACCAATAATCACTGCCTTACTGTTATACGAATACATTTATTATTTGTTAATTTTCACATTAGCTTACTAATAACAACTTTTTTTCTAATAAAAATTTTTTAATTTTCCACATTTTATGATACATTTTGTCAAATACAGTATTGAATGGGTTCTAAAAAAATTGGAATTTTTAGAATAAAATATCAATATATTACTATTGTAATGCTATATAATGCTTCTTGAAAATGTTAAATGTTAGATGTTAACAATGAAAAAAAGGTTCAGAAAAAAATTGGAAAATAGTCATTTTTTGAGAAAAAAATTAATTTCGTCGTTTTTTTTTTCTTTTAAATTAGATATAAAAATTTATGGAATTATTTTCCTCAACAAATTTGTATTAATTGAAATTTGAATGATTTTATTATTGCTAATTGGTGTTCTATCATCTTCTTTGATGCTTCAATTTGTTTGGCTCATTTTAGATCAAACAAATAACTTTTCTTGGCATGTATAATTAAATGGAATATATAATGTATTTGTAATGATAAATTTAATTTGAACTTACAAAAAACAATATTTCGAATAATACAGATTATGGTATTGTAGAAGATATATGTTCTTCTATAACGATTATCAATGCTATACCGTAATAACCGTGTCACTGAATCAACATGCTTCCCATTACATTAAAATTCTTATTAATTTCGAAATATTCCTTACCCGGAATATTTTTTATATATAATATATATGTATACATAAAGTATACATATCAATATATACGGAAAAATAGATAACGGATATTAAAAACAAAAACATTTCCAATTAGATTACGATATTTCGTATATAACCAAAAATAATATTATGTTCAATTAGCCGATAAGAAAAAAAAAACATAATTTTTACAAGCAACTCAATTTTTTGTGTTAATTATAATATGAAACGGAATGAAATTGATTGAATGATTGAATAGCATTATTATATTCAATAATATTTATTAAGAGAAAAAATTGTTCAATGTTAATGCAAGAAAAGCAAAAGAACGAAAATTAAAAATAAAAAATAGGAAAAAAATTTCGTTACTGAAAAATTCCGTTGAAATTTTGAATCATTCAAAATTAAAATGAAATGAAAAAATTATTAACTTAAAAATTGCTTCCAAATTTTTGATTAATTGGTTAACTTAATTAATTTTTTTCTCCTATAATGTCCATATTTATGCAAGTTGTTCAATGAATATTCAATTTAATTTTCATTGTTTATTTCACTTCCATTCTATGTATGTGCATTTTATGAATAAAAGGAAGAATTATTTCATTTTAAAAGATAAAAATATATTAATTATAGAATGAGACATTGTTACCACCTCTACATTTTCAACCCAAAAACATTTAAATTTCACAAAAAATTAAAAGAGAAAAAATTGATGAGTAATGGAAGCACGAAATGTATTTCAAATTCTAAATCTATTAAATTTAAATTTGGAATTTTATTATTCTCGAGTTATTCCACGTAACGCGTTATCAGAATCGATTTATCTGTTATCATATCAGCTGTTTGCATCATTTCCATTTAATATGTTTTTAATTGCTATTTTCATCGAAATGCTTCATGAATGCAATAACCTATAAATTAAATATATTTGTCTGAAAATTACAAGAAATCTATGATGCATGCACTTCATAAAATGCATCGCTAACTTCTGCATGCATTTCTGCGTGCACAGATGCAAATGCCACTAACAACTACAAATTTGTACATTAATATTCACAATTTTTTACTTCCCATAGCTTATAATGATTGTTTTAAACTTGCAATAGCAGAATGTCATCAAACATAATGCTGCGACATTTATTTATTTGTAAACATTTAAAATTTTGGAAAATTCTAAAAATTTTAAATAGCTGAAAGGATTAAATCATTATTTTAATGATAAGATCAAATTTAACTCCAACTATTCACTTATATTCCAGGAAATTTTATTTTCAAATTTAATATCGAATGAAATAAACAATTCTTAACGCAAGAGGAGTTCATTCAATATGTTAAATTGCTTTATGCAACTTTAAACTTTTGTGCAAATTATTTAGCTGAATTTTTGCCAAATCAAATTTTTTTAAATTTTTGTAGATATAAGAAAAATATTAAAATTGTACTAAAAAATTTTTCTCAAAATTTTATCAATAATATAAGTACAATAGCAAATCTGTTCGTAAAAATAACCTCATTAAAAATTCTATAGAGAAATGCTTAATTAGTCCTATTAAGAAGTATTGGGAACCGTGGAAATATAAAACATTATATATTAAAACAATAAAATTATTTTTTTTTGCATTCCTTAATAAGGATTCATCACATTACAAATTCTAATGTTCTCTCATATCAAGTGATTAATCTGTTATCTCATTTATAATCATGTAAAATATAAGAATTTTCACATCCAATATGTCAATCCGTTCTCTAATTTAGATTATATACTTACACTGATATGCTAATTTATTTGTAAGCCACACCTGTTTAGCTAGAATAAACAGGGTTTGTTAAGCGGATTGAAGACTAACGGTAATGGTAATTATAATTTCAACATTGCTTATCACCTTCAACTCCTTATTATATTTCAATCTTCTTCAAGTTGGTTGTCTACTACGCTAACAATAAGGTCACTCAGTCTTCTAGTCGACTCATTGCACGTAAGTACTTTCTTTTGCTATAACTAACTCATTCATCAATAATTCACGATAAGAAGTATCCTAATCTAATGAATGTGAAGCTAATCTTAATGATAAAAGATAATTGATTTCGTTTGCAATTTATATATATATATATATATATTGATTAATATCAAAGGATGTTAGCCAAGGAGAAGAAGGTAGAAATAAATTTAACCGGTATTCTGATATCATCAATGACATCACATAAAATACCCCCTACATCATCTTGCTGTTTATCAAGCTGACATGCATAATTCTCGAAAAATGAAATTTTAACCATAAATAAATTAATGACGAAATTAAATTATCAGACCATAATTGAAAAGACGATATTTAGTTGATAACATAATGATAAAGTTGAATTATCTTATCCACAGTACTAAATAACAAAATTTGAAGAGAAAAAAATTTTTAAAAAAATGAAAAGAGAAAGAAAAGAAAAAAAAAATCAAATTGTCTTTGGTTATATCTGACTAATGCTTTTTCTTTCTCACTTTTTTTTTCGCATTATTGTAGAGAAGAACGATTCATTGTAAATCAACCACATTTCCACATTATTCATTTTGTACAATTACTTTTGACGATTTAAATGGTATTAATGGCCTTGGGAAGAAAGCGAAACGTAATTTAACCTTTCATCGTTAACGGTAAGACAAATTTTCAATTTCAAATTTTTTCCAAATTCAGGGTTTGAAAAAAAAGCGAATAAAAAGAGAAAAAAAAATGCATTACATTTTTTTTGGGAATTGTAGATCGGTTATTTTTTCATGCTACAAATTGATATGTAAATAAACAATACGGTAATTATTTTACAAAAATATGTTAACACATATGCATGGGAATATACATTAAAAAGTCAATTATTTATTTATCTATTGTACTATTTACTGTTAGTAGTATACTATTAAAATTCATTTGTTTATTGTGGTACTCGCCATCAATGTTTATTTGTTGTACTGTTCACTATTAATATTTATTTGTTTATTGCACTACTCATTGTCAATGTTTATTTATTCATTGCATTATTTACTACTAATATTTATCTATTGTATTATATACTATTAATATTTATTTTTTATCGTACTACTTATTATCAATACTTATTTTTTTTACCACTTACTATTAATATTTATTTATTTACTGTACTATTTACTATAATTGTCTATTTATCATTCATTCCTTACTGTTATTTACTATTTATCTGTTGGTGTGTTTATTTATTATTAGTTAGAGCTTGTTATTTATTTCCTAATATGTTACATATTCTCGATTTATTATACATTTTTCACTTTCTACTTATCACTTCTCACTTCATATTTGTTAGTTTTACATTATTTATTATCTATTTATTAATAAATAGAAATAAATATTAATATCTGTTATTTATTATCTACTTGCCATTTATTTTTTACTTTTCATTTATTATCTATTTGTCTCTTATTTTTTATTTGCTTATTTCTTAATTGTTACCTACCACTTATTTTGTTGTATATCACTTATCTTGTTATTGATTATCCATTTATCACTCATTCATTACCCGTTAGTTATTATCCGTCAGTTAACATTTGTTATTTTATCATTTATTTATTTATTATTGTTAATTATTATCTAATTGCTACTTATTTCTCATTTGTCATGCAATTTTTACTCACTTCTCATTACTTATTATTTGTTTACCGCCCATCTATTTGTTTATTCATTTCTTATTTTTATCATTAAATTATCATTCATTTTTAATTTTCATACTCGTTAATTATTATCAAATTTCTATTGTGTTTTTGCTGACACTATCTGAGAATCTCCCATTAAGTTTACTTATTTTTGTCTTTTTTTTCACAATTATTTCCACTTTTTTTTCCATTCTGCACTTTCCTTTAATGATTGGAAGGCAATAAATAGTCCATCAAATAGTAAAATAATTGTTATCAATGGATTAATAATTTGTTCAGGATCAATGCGATGTGCATTCTTGATAGAATTGATAACTCTGAATTGATTAAATTGAATTTACTCTAATTGCAATTATCTAAGAAGCGTAAAATGCATTTATCTTACTCTTCGAATTATCCAAATAGAAACATTTTTTAAAATTATTAGTGATGAAGTGATAATTTTTTCAAGTTTAACAAAGAAATTATTTACACTTTTAAATAGGTGATAATTTCATCTTTTCCAACTGGCAATTGTTTGACAAAATGTAACAGTCAATTATCCTATAAATAAGCATTTTGTAAAGATTATTATCGTTTCCTTCCGAAAATAGTCTGAAGTAAATTTGGTGAACTATCGGGATTAGGTGTTGCCCTTTGAGCGCCACTTCGTCTTAATAAATTAATCAATCGATCGATATTTGAACCTCCGGTGGCATGATAGTTTTCACTTTGATGATAATCTGGTTTAAAAAAATTCGCCAAATCTGTTGGTGGTGGCGGTGTTGTTTGTCCAAAAAACGATGGGCCTACAATATGATGAAAGAAATTCTTCAACAGTGTATCTATGAAACTGTAAAATTTTTACTTAAAATTAGCTAATTAAGTTTTTTAAAAATTTTTTTTCTGGACTAGAATTAGTCGTCATTCATATATAACTTATCACTAAATGATATGTTAAATGGAATTGGTACAATTTGCAGTAACAAACCTAAAAAAACATTCAGCAATGTTTCAATTCCACTTCTTTTTATCGGATGCATTGAACTATAATCATTACCGTATGCTCGATCACCATATTCAGTAAATGGTAATGAACCGTATGTGTTACCAATTTTCGGGTTTCTTCTATCACTAGGAAACCATATGCTATTTCTTGAAATGCCATCATATCTTCAAATAAGCAAAAATATTATTATAAGAAGGAAAAAATAAATAAATGATAACATATACTTTTTCCGTTTGATGATTATAGTGATAGAGTTAAAATAAGTCATGACAGTTAGATATGACCTTTAGATGAATATGATTATAATCACTTGTTGTTAGAAAATCAAAATAATCTTATAGTATGAAAGCTTTAAAATCATAAAAATGTTTGATAGCAATCTTTAAATTACCAAAATTACTTATCATAAATATAGTCAATAAAATGATTAATGATTGTGTTTACGAAAAATTTCACTCAATTATTAAAAAATTATGGTTGATATGATTAATTTATCATTTTTGTATTTTAATTTCAACTGAAAACCCAAAACAACATCTGATAATTTTATCTAACAATTTCTTGTTTGTTTTTAAATATTCGTATTATTCACTTTAATTTTTCATACCTTAGTGACCTTATAGTGTCCAATTCTTCAAGCATTTCATTGGACTTGACCTCGTCTTCTACTTCTTGTCATATCAGAGACATCAATAGAGACTGTCTCAAAATGGCAGTCTCTACTGATGTCTCTGATATGACAAAAAGTAGAAGACTTTCGATCTTATACTACAACTACTATCATCTACTTTTAGATAAATCCCTTCTGGACTATTCAACGAAAACAATCCCAAACTATATTCTCTAAAATCGATAATTGAAGAACAACTAAACTGATAAATTTTATCACTGATAATCTCTGATAATTATCTATAACATTCAAAAAAAAAACAAGGAAGGGAAAAAAGAAAACTTCTCCTTAAGAAAATCAATCTTTATCAAATATTTCACTGTACCAGTACAAAAACTATTAAAAAAAAACAAACAAAAATAATCTCGTGACATATTTTTGATGACATAACTCAGGAATTCAGCAAAAATTCTCCAGTGATATGGTCAATTCTTGAAAATAAACAAATAGCAGAAATCGGACGACAATTATTGAATAGCAAAATTAGAAGAAATGATAACACTAAAAAAAACAGAACGAAAATTACTAAAAAGATAAAGCTGACAATGAAAAAAGAAAAAAAAATCAAAAGTATTAGTAGCAAGAGTTACTTATAAAATAAATATTCAATAAATAAAAACTGTTTTCATTTTTTAAAAAAAAAAGTTACAAAAGCTAGGGATCAACGAAATATAAACATTAGCAAAGTTTCGAACTTACAATGAAAAATAGCAATGATTTCAATTTCGACATTTGCTTTAAAAAAAGAACAAACTACACTACCCAATAAAAAACTATATCTGCACTCCTATTATCTATTCCAAAGCGGGACTTTAACCTTTCTGGATTAACAAACAGTCTCGAACTGTATTCTTGTGCATCAACAAACAGAAGAACAATCAAATGATCCATTCTGTCACTGATAATCTCTGATAATGTTGAAGAGGAATAAAACTTTCCGGATTACCTTTCTTTGATGAGGAATGAAATTCTCTTTCTAAATGAGACAATCCGTAAACTACTCAATTATACCACGTAAACATCCGTAAACTCCGTAAACTATTCAATTATTCAATTATACCACTACACAGTCTTCCAAAAAATAAATAGAAAATTTCACAACATCACTTTCCATTAGCAATAACAATCTAATCATTCATTATGTTTAATATTCTGAATCCGATCAATCGATATATGATAGATTCTTGCTAAATTTAATTAGTTAAAATCCTACTTGTTAATTAATACTTTCCAGTACACTTGTGATTTCGATGAAATTGAATGTTAAATAAAAAACAAACAAAAATTAAATAACCCGGTAGAATCGTAAACACTCTTTGCATTGTTAATGATTGAGCCGCCAAAATTCATCAATTGCGCAGCGATTCCATAAACTAAAATTAATAAAATTTCCAACGAATTAACTGAAAATTAATATAAATGAGAAAATTATATTCTTTTTTCTGTTTATATTTGCAAATATTATACATATTGGACGATATGTTATATTATCCTTAAATGTTATTCATCACCAATCATTAATTAATAAAGAAATTGTTTACAAATAATGAATGACATCTTACTCTTTTTTTCTGCTACACCACATTAATTTCAATTAATTCCAATTATTACATTATACTATTTCAAAATTTGCACGTTATAACTAACGAATAGTTAACAATTAATTGAAAAAAATTAACGAAATCAGTAGCAGAAGAAATTATTCACTCACTAACAATTTACCTTTTATTTATGAGATATAATTAATTCAAGTATTTTATAATCGTTAGTGTAAAAAGTATTTCTGACAACGTTTAATTAAGAGAGTTTGTGAAATTTCACAGCATTATTTGAAAGCAAAAATAATTAATTTGAATATATATTAAATTCAAAATAGCAATTATGTAAAGTGAAGAAATATAATGGTACCAAGGAAGTTGTAAAATCAAACATATGCAAATCGAACAATTCAAGTAATTGTTATGGAATATTTAATTTATTACAGGTTATGATGAAGTTCTTTTTATTTCGTAGTATTTACCTTTTTTGTCGAAAAAGAAAACAAAAAAAAAGTAAAAAATTGCTGAAATTTAATTACAGGTAAATGCTATCAATTAAATATTTGATAAAAATTTTAATGAAAGCAAAAAAAGAAAAAAGAAACATACGATCAATGAATTGTCGTGCCTGATCAGTTAATGCACCAACGTCAATTCCAGGTGGAGCAGGTAACGGTTGTGCATGGACCAATGTCCAACAGGTGAACAGTAAAGCGTTACGATATGTCATTACATGTGGTAGCAACAATTTTCCTTTTCTCTTTCTTTCTTTCGCTTTTTTTCTTCCTCCTTTTAATTTTTTTTTTTATCTTTTAAAAATTCCAAAAAAAAATTTAGAAAAAATAACTTCAAAATTTTCATTCTACACATTATTCATTCTACACACAAAAAAATAAATTTTATACTGCTATAAAATAGCAGTATAAAATTTATTTTTTTTTTAAAGTAATGAATAATTCTCAAAAATGACAATGTATTGTCGACATTTTTACAGTAGCAATGTTTAATATATCATCAAATTAAATTTTCTATCTAATTATCAAATTTTTAAATCTTCTTTTACTTGCATAAATTTCCCAAACAATAATTAATGCTAACATTTTTACATTCTATTTCTTTTTTTTTTCAAATTTCTATTTAATTTGTTTTAAATATTTATTGAGTAATCATAAAAGATTCATTAAAAACAAATAAATAAACTATCAAATTTATAATTATTCTGTTAAATATTGATTTTACAATAAAAATAAATATGAGTTTGCTATATAAAAATGATAACATTTCGCTAAAAAATGATAACTATTGAAAATCTATTCCAACTGATAAGACATACTAACATGAATTCTTTTTATTCCTAATATCCATCCATTCAAATTATAGTAAATATATAAGCTGTTTGTCACACTGGCAGCTTATATGTAATATATGTGTGTGTATGTGTATGTCTATGTGTGTATGTGTGTGTGTATGTGTGTATGTGTATGTGT